ATTCGTAGGAACCTTAGTACAGTCTTCAAATTTGCCATCAACATATCCCGGCATAAAGCGGAGATATGTTTACAACTTGGTATTCGGCCGAAGTTAAGAAACAAATGGAGTCAGGGAACAGCACAGATGAGATTGAGGTTGATTTAAGGCTATCTGTGCTGAAGCCCTTACAAACCACCTGGCTGGTGTGCCTTTACAGCCACCTTACTTGACGGGCAGTGTGGGAAGGCGACGGCACTTTGCAAAAGAAGAAAGGCGGAAATATCCGAACTTCAAGGGAAGAACACCTTATCGCCTGAAGATCCATTTGAAAACATTGAGGCGATCCTTATCTAAAAGCTAATTGGCAGAGCCATCGAGTTAAATAGTGCCTCGGTTTCTTATATCAGTGTACTTTTAAAAGAATTTGTTATGTTGCTGACATTGTTGACTACTTCAGCCAGTTACTTGTTGCGTTTCTATTCCGTTAAGGTTAAAATTAAATAAAATGCAGAAATCAGGAAGTTTAAAAAACGAGCACCAGTGTACTTGATTCGCAAAATTTAATTACCTTGAAAAACGGTGATTCGTCAAAATCGCGAAATTTAAGTGCCGCGAAATATTTCTTTACCAAATTCGCGAAATTAAAGTCGCGCGAAAATAATTAGCAATTACGAGTTCGGCTTTCGTATGAAGAATAAAGCAGATCTCGGAGGGTGTTTTCCACCGAGGCCGAAAGCCTAACTGTTTTATGAAAAATGACTGAGCCATTAACCCATCCAGAAGTCTTTTTGACCCTCCATTATGAACTCGCAATTTATAAAATCTAAGGAAAATCAGCTTTATTAAATAAGGATAAAAGACGTTTAAAAAAAGGAGATTATATCAATGTTAAAATGAGAGCTGGAAATTTGATTTGGGTGCATCAGCCCTCGAGACAAGACAGTTTCATTCTAACGAGCGATCTAAAAACTCTCTTAATATAAATGAGGCTAGGACCTTTCTGTTTTGCTTTGCCATAAGCTTCTTTCTACGAGTAAATGTTTAAACGACTAATAAAAGTCTTAGCTGGCGTTTCGTGGCTAACGGTCAACGACACACTCTTATTCTACTCTGTGGGCAGCCGTTTTAGCGATTTTGCCCTTCGCATTCGTTGGACTTCGCCATATCGAATACAATCAATTTCACACTCTCTGATAGTCAATCAAATTCATAGTCTCCAATACCAGAGCACCTATAGACTTTTACTTCTTAAGAGCCAAATAGTTAGCCTGTTAGTCGTTAGCCTCTGTATTTTCGTGATAGCTTAATCTTTTGGTAATATTTGATAATTTGTAATTCGGTAGTTTTAATAATATCAGAGGACCTCCCTTAAAACCACTAAATGTGATGAGAGCTTTCTCAATAAAGATTATTTTTTATTGTTGTCATTATTATTATTATTATTATTATTATTATTATTATTATTATTATTATTATTATTATTATTATTATTATCATTATCATTATCATGTGCTGACTCGACGTCATATTATTAACATGTTATGGTAAATTTACAAATGAACATAAAAAGCATCTCATATGTGTATAAATACAAAGACACACCGATGCTTCCAAAACGTAAATAATGGAGTTAAATATCCTTTTGAACATACATAGACCTCTTTTAAAGTTAGTTTTCATTTTGTCTCATTTTAAGCAGTTCCATCATACCTTTGCGTAGGCCTTTGTTTCTCCAACAGTGAATAACAGGATTAAGGAGCGAGTTTAGGAAAATACACGACAAAACGAGAGCCCTCAGATTCGTCTGCCGTATATCGCGGGAAAATATCCCGTACAAAAGTGATGGTACAAACGAAAGGAACACGAACGCGATAATTATACTTGTAGTTTTTAAGGCTTTCTTCTCCTCTACGAATTTAGTCTTCGTTTCGCTTGGAAGCTGTTCTGTTTTTATGCGACGCATGTGTCGGCGTGAAACAAGATAAACTGTCGTGTGACAGAATACAATAATTGAAATGGCTGGGATAACAGTTACATAAACGAACACTACTGCAAATGAATATGTCCCCGGTATTAACCTTAAAATTACAGAAATAACTGAGATGATCCAACTACAGAGTACAGCGCCAGTTAACCTAGGTGTGGTCATGAGGCTAGCATATCTAAGTGAGAACTTCATGGCTATATACCGCTCCATACTTAGTAAAGCTAAGATCAGCAACGATTCAATACTTGGGAAAAGACAAAAGAATACGCTCTTCGTGTAAAAGTGGCAGTAATCCTCCACCGATGCACCTGAGAGAAAGAAGATTTCTTGAGCGATGAATAATGGTTGTGAAACTAAGCCGACTGCCAGATCTGTTCCCGCTAAACAGGCCAGTAGTATGTTGTAGACGGACTGTAATCGGCGTCTTGCTTTTATGGCGATGATAACTAACGCATTCATCAAGATGATAATAGGGCATGATCCTAAATTCAGCGCGATAACAGGCAAAGTAGCGAGGATGTACTCCCAAAAATACCGCTCTTTCGCCACGCGACAACTAGCAACATCCTTTATAGTGGATAAGGAATTAGTGAAATTCATCGCTGCTGCGCATTTGGGACTGAATATCTCCGTTACTGTATGCTCGATTCTTTTTAGCTCTTTTAATGAGTTGACAATGTTCGTTATTGAAAGCACTCTGTTAATTCAAGATTCTAAGCGCAAATCTCTTCATGCAGATGGTCAAAACGTGTCTAATCTTTAAAGGCTAATTGCTTTTAAAGGAGTGATTTAAGGTGACTCGACCCAGTTTTTTTTAGGGGGTACCATCCTACTTTGAAGCTCTCTGGTATCCCCACCTTTGCTTTTATCGTAAGTCTAACACATAGAATGGATAACATATAGATCAATCTACAATATAACATAAAATTTTTGGCGATCGGAGTAAATGTCACNCGTATATCGCGGGAAAATATCCCGTACAAAAGTGATGGTACAAACGAAAGGAACACGAACGCGATAATTATACTTGTAGTTTTTAAGGCTTTCTTCTCCTCTACGAATTTAGTCTTCGTTTCGCTTGGAAGCTGTTCTGTTTTTATGCGACGCATGTGTCGGCGTGAAACAAGATAAACTGTCGTGTGACAGAATACAATAATTGAAATGGCTGGGATAACAGTTACATAAACGAACACTACTGCAAATGAATATGTCCCCGGTATTAACCTTAAAATTACAGAAATAACTGAGATGATCCAACTACAGAGTACAGCGCCAGTTAACCTAGGTGTGGTCATGAGGCTAGCATATCTAAGTGAGAACTTCATGGCTATATACCGCTCCATACTTAGTAAAGCTAAGATCAGCAACGATTCAATACTTGGGAAAAGACAAAAGAATACGCTCTTCGTGTAAAAGTGGCAGTAATCCTCCACCGATGCACCTGAGAGAAAGAAGATTTCTTGAGCGATGAATAATGGTTGTGAAACTAAGCCGACTGCCAGATCTGTTCCCGCTAAACAGGCCAGTAGTATGTTGTAGACGGACTGTAATCGGCGTCTTGCTTTTATGGCGATGATAACTAACGCATTCATCAAGATGATAATAGGGCATGATCCTAAATTCAGCGCGATAACAGGCAAAGTAGCGAGGATGTACTCCCAAAAATACCGCTCTTTCGCCACGCGACAACTAGCAACATCCTTTATAGTGGATAAGGAATTAGTGAAATTCATCGCTGCTGCGCATTTGGGACTGAATATCTCCGTTACTGTATGCTCGATTCTTTTTAGCTCTTTTAATGAGTTGACAATGTTCGTTATTGAAAGCACTCTGTTAATTCAAGATTCTAAGCGCAAATCTCTTCATGCAGATGGTCAAAACGTGTCTAATCTTTAAAGGCTAATTGCTTTTAAAGGAGTGATTTAAGGTGACTCGACCCAGTTTTTTTTAGGGGGTACCATCCTACTTTGAAGCTCTCTGGTATCCCCACCTTTGCTTTTATCGTAAGTCTAACACATAGAATGGATAACATATAGATCAATCTACAATATAACATAAAATTTTTGGCGATCGGAGTAAATGTCACGTGGTTATAATGCCACGCCCCTTTGAGGTCTGAGTCGAAAATCTGCTGTTGCCGGCATTTTTTCGTGAAAATCTCTCGGCTACACATAGTGCGCATTAGTGCCTTGCGCTGAACAGAGTTTCACCAAAATCGCAAAGACC